AGCCTGGCAGATGCAGCGCAGGCCCCAGTGTCTGTCCCAGCTGGGAGTGGTCAGCCGGCTGCTGAGGGCTTCCCGAGACCCCTCCTTCCTATGCCTAGGGGAAGGGTGGGGAGGAGCCCAGCAAATACCGAGGGCGCAGTGACCCCCCCGGCCAGCAGGGGATCCTCCCGGCCGCGCTCGCCGGCCAGCAGGGGATCCTCCCGGCCACGCGCGGCATCCGTGGAGCGGAATGAGCTGGAATGGGAGATAGAGCTAAAACTGAGAGAGCTGAAGGATCGTGAACAACAGAGGCGTCATGAACGGGAGGAGAATGAGAGACAGAGGCAGAATGAAGAGAGACAGAGGCAGCATGAAGAAAGACAGCGTCAGCATGAACTGGAACTGGCGAGGCTGAAGGGCCGCGGGACCCCGGCTGCGGTGAGTGAGGGGGGACCCAGGACTGCACGGAGCTTTGATAAGTGCATCCTGGCCCCACGTAAGGAGGGGGAGGACATGGATGACTTCCTGGATGCATTTGAGACGGCCTGCGAGCTGCACCAGGTTGATCCTGCGGACAGACTCCGGGTTCTCACCCCCTTACTGGACCCCAAATCCGTGGCATTGTACCGCCAACTGGACGAGGCGGAGAAAGGGGACTATGAACTCTTCAAAAAGGCCCTGCTACGTGAGTTTGGGCTGACTCCTGAGATGTACCGGGAAAGGTTCCGGAGTCAGGATAAAACCCCTGAGATCTCATATCTGCAACTAGCCGTCCGCATGGAGGGATACGCCAGCAAGTGGGCTGATGGGGCCCAGACAAAGGAGGACCTGGTTAAACTGCTGGTATTGGAGCAACTGTATGAGCGGTGCCCATCCGACCTGAGGCTGTGGTTGGTGGATAAAAAACCAGAGAACCCGCGACATGCAGGCCGGCTGGCCGATGAGTTTGTGAAGAGCCGGTCAGGGGCTGGCAGGGAGGAGTCCCAAAGGAGCAGGCCCGCTGCGATGCAGAGAGAGAGTCACCCGGGTACTTCCCAAAAGGGGAATGTGGGGAATCCCCTCCCATGGGGAATGCCCAGGGTCAGGGACAACCGACCGGCTCGAGGGGACACCTGGGACATGGTCTGCTATCACTGTGGCCAGAGAGGTCACATACGGGCCCAGTGCCCCAGACTCAGGGACAGACTGAGCAGACCAGACCCACAGAGGGTTGACTGGGTAGAGACCCAGCCGGGCGAGAGGCGGCACTCCCAGGGAAGGGGGGCTGGCAGAATACCACCTGCTAAGGAGGAAGGAGAGCTCCAGGCCAGCTCCTCTGGGGGGCTGAATGCTCCAGACTCAGGGTTTTTGGTTTATACGGTGGGCGCGGGGCGGTCCCTCCGGAGAGAGTACCTTGTTCCCCTGGAGGTGGATGGGAGGAAGGTCGATGGATACTGGGATACGGGCGCAGAGGTGACACTGGTCCGGCCCGAGGTGGTGGCCTCAGATCGGATGGTGCCCAATACCTTCCTGACTCTGACGGGGGTGGGTGGGACCCCATTCAAGGTACCTGTGGCGAAGGTACGCCTGAAGTGAGGGCCCAAGGAGGGCCCCAAGGACGTGGGGGTACACCCGTATTTGCCCACTGAGGTGTTGATGGGGGGGGACCTGGAGGACTGGCCAAGCAACCCCCAGAATGCACTGGTTGTGACCCACAGTCAGAGCCGGCGAGGAGCACTGCGCCCTGACCTTGGGGAGGGTGCCTTGCCCGAGGCGCAGGACCCTAACCTGGTGGGGAGGGAACGCCCAGGGACACGGCTCAGGGAGGCTGCGGCTTCAGACCCAGCCGGCGAGAGAGAGCAGGTGGCCATCCCTGTCCCAGCTGCTGAGTTCCAGGCCGAGGTGCAAAAAGATCCCTCCTTGCGGAAGATAAGGGACCTGGCCGACCTCGGTGCGGTACAGACCATGGGGAGAGGTGGCCGAAAAAGGTTCCTGTGGGAGAAGGGGTTCCTGTACCGAGAATGGGCTCCCCCAGGGAAGATGGAGTCAGGGGGGATCAGGAGGCAGCTGGTGGTACCCCAAAAGTATCGCCGCCAGCTGCTGTACCGGGCCCATGACATTCCCCTTTCAGGGCACCAGGGAACCTGGCGTACCCAGCAGAGGCTGCTACGGAGCTTTTACTGGCCTGGGGTCTTTGTTACTGTCCGGCAGTACTGCCGATCCTGTGACCCCTGTCAGAGGGGGAGGAAGGCCCGGGACAAGGGGAAAACGGCTTTAGGACCCTTACCCAGGATAGAGGAGCCTTTCCGGAGGGTGGCCAAGGTTAAAAGGGGGGCTCTGAACCAAGAGAGCCCGAAGCACAGACCTCCAGACTGGAGCACTGGGAGAAGACCCCAGCCCAGTTGGAACCCCAGGGGTATTGGGGTGGGAAAAGGGCACAGGCCGCATAACCCTTCCCACCTGCGAACTGCGAATGCCCTCGAGCACCCCGACCTAAGGGGGGGACGTGAAACTGGAGGGGCCTGGTGTAATTCTCACCAAGGAATGGGAGGGATGCTGGGGCATCCATGGGAACGGGGGTAGGTTCGAACTTCCCCGGGTCACTGGCTGAAGTGACCCCGCTCAGTTCGGTCTCGAAGGGGGGAGATGTGACGAACTGGGTCTGGGGGGACTCAGGGCCCTGCACCCCCGGCGTCCTGCGATTCACCATGACTCTCAGCCAGCCAGTAAAGCAGAAGGTTTATTTAGATGACAGGAATACAGTCCAAGACAGGCCTTGCAGGCACAGACAACAGGATACCCCACAGTTAGGTCCATCTTGGGGTCCTTGGGCACCCCAGCCCACCTCCTGGGGTCAGAGCCCTCCCTGCCTTCCAGCCACCTCACCAGCCAGCTTCCCAGACTCTGCCTTCAGCGACCCCACCCACAGCCTTTGTTCAGTCTCCCGGGCAAAGGTGTCACCTGGTCCCAGCCCCCTCCTGGGTTCTCATGTTACAGGCTCAGGTATTTCCAGTCAGTCTCCCATCCCCCAATGCCGGCTATCCCAGCCACACTCCCCTGTCAGCATTCACAGACCACAGTAAGAACAGACCCAGTTCGTCACAGGGAGCTCTGGTCATTAGCATCTGTGAAAATCAAGCAGCATTCATTTAGGGCTTGTCTATGCAGGGATATCCAGGAAAGTTAATCTGAATTATTTAAAGGTGTGAATTTGAAGTGGATTAGTTGAACTACATTAAATCCCTATATGGATGTTGTTGTTCAAAATTAAAGTGGCCTTAATTTGATATAGTTTAAATCAGTATGAATTAAACTAAACTGAATTAAGGCCACTTTGATTCTGAATGAAGATGTTCACACAGGCTTTTCATGTAATTTAACTAAACCACTTCAAATTCACACCTTTAAATAATTCAGATTAATTTTCCTGGATGTCCCTGTGTAGACAAACCTTTAGATACCTATCTTCATGCACCCAAGTTAGAAAAATTTGTCCAATGTGCATCAGCAAGTTCTCCCCCCCCCCTCAATTGGCAGATTATTCCATTTACACTTCTTTGTACAGTCTATAAAGCTGTAAGAATAATTTTATAGGTAATGCTGTTGCAAGTGCTTTGTACACATTGCAAAGAACCCTTTAGTCCTTCTTGGTAAAGTAACCCTATGTCAGGAAGTAAAGGAATAATGTATTAGATGTGATTTGTTCAATTTTCAGGTAGAGCAAACAGACGTTAAAAGTACATGCCAGAAGGAACACTGTCAGATGTAGATTCTAAAAGCCTGTAGGGCAACACATGGATTTCAAAAATATAACATATTTACTCCTGTGGGTTATTACAGTTCCAGTATTAGTCTGTCTTATGTTAAATCATGTATTGAGCTATTTTATGTGACCATTGTTCCACAGGCTGCCTTAAATTAGGGACCAGTTTGGGGGGGGAAATAGATACTAGGTAATTTTATGAGAATATGAATCAAATCAAAGTTCTGGGTTTTAGAGAATTGAATTATTTACCGAAATGAATTAGCTTCAGATCTTTGCTCATGACTCAGTTCACTTGAATAGTCTATTTTATTTATTTTCTTTTTTTTAAATTCACTAACAGTAAAGGCAGCAAGGCAGAGTTGTACTTCCAAATGACAGCCTCATGTATTGTTTAACTTTTAGAAAGCTAAAATGGACTAGAACTCATAACTAGACTCTGTGCACAGAGAGTTAAGCCTTAAGATTATGTTACTTATACAGAATGGAATCAGGACAAACACACTGAAAATGTGACAGTTCATGTATAGTTTCAAAAATGACATTTGATTATGGTTATACATTTTTTAATGAAACGTTTATCAAAAACATTCAAAAGTATCACCAGCAGAAAATACTTATTTTTCCCCCATGTCAAAAATGTAAATAATGAGAGGACACTTGTATAAAATAAATTTAAAAATTCCCTCCTGCATATACAGTTCCACTAATCAATGGTGTGTAATGTGATTCAAGGTAATTACACATTATGGTGTGAATGCTTCCAACCATATTTTGATGACTGTAGGTATTTTAATTTTCTGTGGCACTTTATTGTTGCCTGCCTGTCATGATAGATGTACCATTTACCAATGCTGAATCAAGAAACAATTAAGCTTCATCAAAACATTCAGGATCACGTCCTCAGCAGGTGCAAATCAGTGTAGCGGTATTGAAGTCAGTTCAACTATAGTGATTTACATCAGCGAGAGACCTGACCCTTACATTGTATTCTGTTTGACTGTATTAGACTAGAAGACCAAAATAAAGATTTGTAATGTCATACTAAAGTTATTAGGGTATATACGTTTTGTATGAAATGGGGAACCAGGCAAAAGTTGGAACCTAGATTTTATATACGCTCTCAATGTCACTATCTGATTTAGGGAGTGGGTTCAGGAGGTTACTCTGGGGGTGGGAATAGCTTACAGTGGGATCCCTCAGAAAAGGGTCTCCTCCACCAAAAAAATCAATATAATACACTGCTAACTTATATTATTTTATTATTTATTTCTTACAGGTAGCCAACCAGGTTGTGCAAGCTCTACTTACTCAAAAGGTAGATTGTTTCTCTGATTTTTGGCATGTTTTTAAGGCTGTAAATGCAAACCATTGAATTAGAAAATGTATGTTTTTATGCGGGATACATTTTTCAAACGCTGTGCACACATTTCAGTAACGCAACCGCAAAATGTCAAAATATGACAAGTGTTCTACCAATAACAAAAATGAATAATAATTTCTGGGACTGGGCACCTCGGAGGATTGGTAATGGAATATATAGCCTCACATCCCATTTGATACATAGGGTAGGCCTGGCTAAAGTCAATAATGCCTGACAGTCCATCCCATCTCTTGGCTTTTTTGTGTCCTATACAAAATGATTTGGTTCTATCTCCCAATCCGGTTCCTGTTGGACATCAGAAAAAGTCAGTCACACTTGGCACTCTTGTTGGCTCTGAGCAGAATATAAGGATTATAGGTGAAATCCTGTGCCTCCCTGAGTGGCAATGGAAGGCTCCCATATACACAGCGGTGGAATGGATATTCTAAGGCTGGGTAGTGAAGATGTACAGGGGATGCTTCAGCCCCATGCTATGGAAACTGTGCTCTTTAGCAGCTCTCTGCCATATGACAGCTGTGTAGAGAGGGATTTGTAGGTAGGCCATGCAGGAATATCCTGGAGTGTAGCCACCATGTTCACAAACTGTGATGATCCGTGGAGGGAGCATATAGAGGGGGCAATTAATGTTTCCTAAAGCCCTACACTCAGTAATTGTGACTACAAAATGGCTCCATAGATGCCACTGTCAGTTCCATTCCTCACCTCCACGTCTTCAGAACAATATCTTTGTCTATGTACCCACAGTTCCACCCTGCATAGGTTTGGAAATGATTCTGCACACTCAAGCCTAGTGGTGGTCCACGCAGGTCAGATATGAGGCAAGGCAGTGTGGGGAAGATTGCACTTTTGCTGTTCTTGCTATATCTATTCTTACATATAATCAGAGGACTGATCCTTGATTACATAAAGCAAAATCACATCTTATAATGGTGACATATTTGCTAGAGTTTCAGTCTCCATATTTTAGTCTGTAATTTGGGAAATGTTGTGATTGTTTTCCAAAAGCAGAGAGAAGCTCTCTGAATTCTTTTACACTGAGAGTCAGATTTTTTTATGACAATATACTTTCCCAATAATGGACCCACCCAAACTCGTAGGAACCATGGAGTTTGTACAGATATAATAAAAATCGATTTAAATACATTTAATAAAATAATTTGCTGAGTATTGATGGGATTTAACAGCTGCTTACCTACTGCTGAGTAATACCAGCTAATTTAACGTCCATGGAATGGAGAGGGTACTCTTCTAAATGCTAATGAATGTTAACTGTTACAGTACTCCTACCTCTGTTCATACTAAGATCATTTATAAGAAAGGAGAGGAAAACAATAGTGTAAGAAATTGGATTCTTCAGGTCAATCACAAAAGGTAGTAGCTATACAAATCCAGGTAATAACTAGTAAACAGATAAATCTACCATAGTGCCGCTAAGCAGTAAGACACATCAAGTCATGCCACAGTGAGATAACACACCTCTGGGGCATAGTGAGGCATGAAGACAAGCTGAGAGCTTTCAAAGATTCAAGAAGAGTAATATTGCACAGTAACATAGATTGGGTATGTTTTATTGTGAATTTGAAATTGCTCCGCAAGGGCTAATTTTTGTTTAAATTAAGTACATACTGTAATGTAAGGGATAAAGTACTGTACACCCCGCTGTATATGAGAAAACTGATTCCACTGAGGGATTCTGATGAGAGAAACGGAGAGAGCAAAGCTTGAGTGATTTATCAATGTCACTGAAACCTTGAGATGGAATTACAGTCTTAAATGTGCACTTTTGGAGTATATCATTTGTTATAATACATATGGAATTCCTCTGACATGGCTGGCTTTTTACCAGGCGCATGCAGAAAATGGGTGAAATTGGGAATTTTCCGGAATTAGCCCCAGAGCAAAATTTCACCTTTGTATGCAGAAAATTTGTTTGCGTTTTTCTCCCCACTTATAAATAGCAGGTTTTACCTCTGGGGAATCTGAGAAGTCAGATAATCAGCAAATGATTTTGAGACAAACCCACAAAATACTTTTTGTGTGTTTGCTAGTGGGTGGGTTGCACAGCCCCATTGATTTCTGTGCAGATCATCAACAATCATTCTTCATGTACCCACGGGTGGCTTAACTCTACGTGGCAGAATTAAACCCGGGTATTTCTCCTGGGCAAAGAGGGATGCAGTATTTTGAAGCCCCACACAGGAGGTGACATCCCCTGCACAGTTTGTAACCTGTCTCTGCTGGGGTTTCCTATGTGGCAACACATGGGAAGGGGCCTCGGAAAAGGTAGGCAGTGGGGAAATGCTGCTAGGGAGCGTTGGTCGGGCTAACACCCTAGAAGCAGGCTCCAGACAGTAGGCTGGAGTAAACTGCATAGAATATCTCTGCAGCCAGTGTGAGGTTTCCATCCCCTCTCCAGAGATCCCTAGTGCCCAGTTGAAAAAGTGCGGCTGGGTGCTTGGGTCTAAGTTTTCCTTAAGATATGGATCAACATTGTGACATTGGAGTTATAGTGCACAATGGAATTGCTGATTGATCCATAGATCTGACCTTCGCTTGTCACCCTGCTACACTTGAGTCCTTTCAGGCAAGTGCTGACCCACATTCTCTGCTCCAGGATCCGCATGATCATTTAATTTTTCCCTTTCTGATCTTTAAAATCTTGCCACCTGTTATCTGGTGCTACAGGTGACCTTCAGTGCTGTGTATGGTGCATGTGTGGACAGGAACTGAGCATTACAACAGAGGAAATGGATTCAAAGGAAAGGCAGTGGGTTTCCAGAATTTGAAGGAAAAGCATCATTTCCCAGCTGAGGGAAGAATAGTTCTGGTATTGAGGAATAATGCAGTGGGTGTTGTAAGCATAAACACCTTAAAGATTGTGAGACACTCGAGTACTACAATACTGAGATAGATATTTGTAGTATCACTTTTTTAATACCTATTAGTTCTACCATTAGGAATGTGCATAATGATATACTTCAGGTTTTGTTAATTATGACACAACATGCCTACTGATCATTTTACTATTTTGATTTAATATAACCAGGAATTGCTACTTTACATAAATTTTCTTATGTTAATTTCCTGTTAATACTTTTTTTCACCTTTCTGTGAATGGCATTAGTGTTGGAAGAGTTTACTGCATCTTTGTTGGTAATGTGCCAAAATTTTACTCTTGCTCTTGAGCAAAAAGTCCAGAGTTAGAGGCATATAAACTTCCAAGGTTTAGCTCTTAAAAGGAAAAGTTTGAGAGGCAACATTGCTATGTTTGGAATGTTGTTTTAAATTGTCAGTTCCCATGAAGCATTTTTCCTCTTCAGTAAACTCAGTATTTAAACTTCATTATAGCAGCTAGGGCTCAGTTTTAATTTCTTTGATTATTTGTGAAAGCCATGTAAAGAGGGGCTTTGGTGTTTGTGCTTCCCCAGATGAGAAATACTGTCCCATATAAGTTAATAGATGAGAGTTTTTAGCAGGGGTTTTCACTCAGAGAATTAAAGCTTTAGGATTTCACTACACCTCAAATAGATATCATTGCCTCATCATTTTAGAAGGCACCAAATATATAACTTGGACAGCTTTAGAACCACTTAAAATAAGCACTATCGTGGTAATGTATCCAGGGAAAATAACTTCATAATTCATCCAGTGATACCTCTGTAACTAAAGATATTTCAGCATGTTTCCAATGGTCTCAGGGCAAGGTTTTCTCATTGTGTGGTGACCTCTTTTGTATTCTCTGTGCTGGCTACAGTACGCTCTAGATAAGAACTGGCACTGCTGGAGACAGGCACTTTGGTTACTTCTGACTAGAATTTCCCACTCTGAGCTGCTACCTCATCAGGTTCATGCACCTTTGCGGGTCAATACGTTGTTAACGCTATTAACGGGCAAGCATATTGGAAGCAAGAGGCCTGTTTCTCCACCGTGTGATGAAAAATAAAGGCAGTTAGGCAATGCCAGTGGGTAGCAGCTGTTCTAAATTAAAAAAAAAAACTGAGAAGAGTGGTTACACTTTTTGTGAGAATAAATGTGGCTGCAGTTTATTTGTTCACACAAGTGCCACTACAGTTGCAATCCTTTCTTATTTTTGAAGTTCATATTGACTATAACACAGAGATGTCATGTCCTTCAAAGAAGACTGCCACCTGTATTGTATAACTTGTGCAGAGATTTTGAGTCAAAGTCTGCCTGAACCCTACTGAAGTCCACTTTGTAACAGAATCCCATGTTCCCTTAAATGGCCAACAAAAGGAAGTCCTATGCCAATATCTGAAATTGGTATTCAAATATACTTTCAGCCAATCTGTACCATCAGGCCAGTTTACGGCCTTATGTTTGGGAGATGCTTTGTCCAAAATACTATGTAATCAACAAACACTTCAGTCCTGCTACTGGAGGGAGATCAGTACAAAAAATGGATTCAATATGTTATATTCAGCATACTTGTGTGCTGCTAAATGTACCAATTGCTAGGTATACTCATGTGGTTCAGAATATGTGCCAGTTTTGTTCCATGTACCAAATACTTTAAGGTTCGAAGTTCCATTGGAATATCAACAGTGTAAAGAAAAGTCACCGCATTCTGCTACAGCACAGAAATCGTAGAAGAGTTGAGCAATGAAAGGGTTACAGACACTGACGAAAGCCATTCCTTAAAATATAATTTCTTTTGTTTGTTTTTTTTCATTTGCTATTGTTTGCAATTGTTATTAAAATGTATTTGCATATTACTTTTTTCATTTTTAATTGGGCAAGCATTGATTCTCCCTGTCCTTGTAATTGTGGTGGAATATCCACCAAGATGGCTAATGTTTATTTCATGTATTGTGCACCACCAGCATCAAAGATGCCACTGCAGTTCTGAGAATAAAGCATTCATTAGGTTATGTTCCTTCAGCTATCCTTCAGGCTCTGCTGCAGCAATAGAGCATAAAACAGTTCTTACATAAACAGTGGGTCTAGTAAAGTGCTTTATTTTGATTAATATTTTGCTAGCAGAATGGGGACTGCAAAGAGAACAAACTTTTAGGATCTGCACTTAGGCCTGAGTCCAGCAAAGCACTTAAGCACATGCTTAATTTCAAGCTATGCTTGAAGTGCTTTGCTGGCGTCTTAGATGCTGAGGTGATAGACATTCTAAAAATCTTAGAGTGTAACAATGCCCATTAGACTATAACAGTTTTAAAGTAGATAAAATTATTGGGCTAAATTACTCAGCTTCTCTTTAAAAAGTTATCATAGGTCCCTTCAGTTACAAAACTGCATCATCAAAATTAGACAGCTGAAATATTGTATGGTATGGAATCATGCTGGGTATATAAAAAACCCACATACTTGGTTTCATAGTTTATCAGACCTCTGTTCACTCTGTTCTGAACTGTGATTTGGGCTTTGTGGCCACCTAAGGGAGTAAAGTAGGGTGACCAGATGTCCCAATATTTCGGGGTATTTCAGGGTGTGTCCTAAGATCGGTCAGGATGCAAATTGTCCCGATATCCGCCGGCAGGGACTGACTCCACTTTTTTTTTTTTCCCCTCTCTCCTCCCCCCCCCCCCCACCTCCCCATGTGTCCCGATTTTTTCTTTCCCTCATCTGGTCACCCTAGAGTAAAGGGGAGTGAGAATCATTTTTACAACCCTGTGCAAGCCCTTGGAAGTGGGTGTAGGTGGGCTACAGTGGCGCTCTGTCCGCTTCTATAGGTATCTGGGCGAAAGGTAAAGGTTGATGAACCTGCAACCTTTGGCTAATTGACCTGGACCTTTCAGCTCAGGCACAAGGGCTTCATGCTTTAAGAACCAGAGATCCCAAGTACAATCTCAGCTGCAGACAACCCATCCAGGGTCATCAGGTTTCAAGTGGTAGCCTTTATTGGCAATTGAACTGGGTGAACCTGTAAAACTTGGGATGAGCTTCCCCAGCCAAGGCTGTAGCAGGCTCATCAACCTCTTTCTATGGCCAAACCACCTCTAGAGTAGCTAGTCCAGAGCTGGTGGACAGGAAGAGGAATGGAAAGTGAAGAGCCTTGGTGCCCCCCACTTCCCCATGCAAAAGCCAGTACAGCTGAGCCAGCATGGGCAGTGGTATACTTTGCTCTTGGTACTACTCCAGAGCAAACAGAAGCAGGGAGGGGAGTGGATTTTGGAGGAGTATCTCCAAGGCATAATGCCTCCTTGGTCTACTCCTATAATGATGTAGCTTACAAAGCACCCCATGGTATATTAGGGCTTTGCTTAAAGACACAGTCCAGTTCTATGAAAACATAATTAATGTTTTCTGATTCAGTTTATGACCATATCAATACAATAAAACACACTGCTGCTAAGGTCTAACTGACATTGCACTCCAAAAGTATATGTACTGTAACTAATATGTCTGATTTCATGCATTTAAATATTATCTTTTGATGATCAAATAATCAGGGAAATGGTGTAGTATCTTTTTTTCTGATTTATTTGTGCTATTTTGAAAATTTTACTCATTTGTCTCTTCTGAAGCCTCCTATTCCATAAAGCATTTTCAAGAGTTTCACTGCATTTTTCCTCAAACCTCCTATTTTCTCCTGTGCTGTAGGATCTGAGGGAAGAATGTGTAAAGCTGAAAACAAGAGTTTTTGATTTGGAACAACAGAATCGAATGCTAAGTGTGCTTTTTCAACAAAGGGTCAAACCAGCTTCCGACCTCCTTCTCCAGGTAGGAAGAAACCTTTGCCTCTGGAATCTGCTAAATTTAGATTCGATACATTTAAATAATATTAATCTTCTTAAGATAATGTTAGCACGCAAGAAGTGACAACTGATAGACATAATATATTAGAAGAAAATTGGTTATCTATCATCTGATAGCATTGAAATTGAAAGTGTACACCACCAAACTTTGGCTGCACGTTATGTGCAGATGTGGAGAGAGAAGTATATCTGAGGAATAAGTTACTTTTTGAGGTGCCTCCTCAGGATGATAAATGGGATGACATATGGGTTCATTATTCCTTTTGGGGGGCAAAAATTGTGGTCACATAATTCCATAATATTCCATTTGATAGTAAACAAAGCATAATTTTCTATGAGAAAGAAATCAGTCTGTTTAGCTTTCTCCATGTTTGTTATAGTGATTCAATATATTACATAGACCCAGAACAATATTTTATTTACCTTTTCTGGGACAAGACAGTCAAGAAGTCAGATGTAGAGTGACCTGCCTCCAACTCTTCCCTGTTATCCTGGAAAAATCAGGAAGGCTGCAGATTTTCTTTTGATGTGGCATTTCCCTTAACATGAAATTACATTTATCTTCCCTATTATTCTTTGTTCCCCTTCCCATTAGAAGTGTCTAGCAGCACCTCTGTGTTAGCCAGAAAATCTGACCATGAGCTGGGTTGAAATTAAATGAAGGTAACTTTAAATTGAGATTGAGAAGCTTCTTAAAGAAGATCCAAATTCTGCCCTTTATGTGTATACAATTCTCACTGAGATCAAAGAAAGGTACATGAGAGTGCAGAATTTGGCCTATGTAAGAGCATGAATGAAACTCTTATGGAAATCACCAGGTGTTCCACACATGTATATGATGGTGAAATTTGGCCCTTAGGATGTCATATATCTTCTCAAAGGAACTGGTGTCAGTCCTATGACTAAAGTTATTTGAAACTGGACTGCATCAAGTGCTATGGAATATACTGAAGAGAATGAACCTGCCTTGGTAGCAGGAAGGAGTAGATGATCTAGTAAGTCTTTTTATTTCTAGCTTGTATGAATTTGTAACATTTATCATTGTTGCCTCTCCATGGTTTAGCAGGCAGGCTCTTCATATCTGCAGAATTTTTCTGACTTCACTTGCTTAGTCTTTATTGGCCAAGTGAGAAGGGGTACCACTGTTATTCCTAAACTCCATGTCTCCCATCTGACAGCAAAATGTACTGCTGATGTGCAACTGAACTAGGTCATCAACATATTTTGAGACCTTGGGAAAAATCAAGGGAAGAGTGTCACTGTATTTCAGACAATGAAGGACTTCTGATAAAGATGATCAGTGTCAAATACTATTTTTTTGCAGAAAAACAGAACAGTAAATTTGTGAATTACCAAAATTTAACTCATCTTCTAAATTAATTTGCCCAATGGAATCTAATTCATCATCTGAGACTTTAAGATTTTCAAAAAGATATTTCCAAATGATATTACTGAATTCTGTTAGATTAGGCAACTAATAATATGTCTGCCATAGGGGTTGCCACATTAGTGGACACTTTGGCTTATACTCTTAAACCCAGATTCAGAAAAGCTCTTAAGTACTTGCTTAAGTTACCCCATTCAGGAATGTACTCAAGTGTGTACTTAAATACATGCCTGAATCACGTTTTCTTGAGTTGGAGCCAAACACCATCATTATTTGAAAGGGCGGTTGCTTAAATGTTCTGATGGTCCCTTCTACATACACAGGCAACCAGGAGACCACAACTCTCTCAAAACCTGTGGAGTTGACACTTTGCAGCTTCCATGTGGAATCTCTGCACATTTAGCTGCACATGGATGTTCTAAGGCAGTGGTTCCCGTTGATAAATTGTATAATCAATTCCTTGACCACATTTTGGTTCATTATGAAATATACTCAATAGACCAAATAACCAATGTCAGTCAGTTGTATTGCTATAAGCCAATAATAATATAGTACAGGAAATAGTTTTTATACGATACCAGTCTCTGGAAAGCTGTCTTGTGCAGCGTTGTCACATTCACCTTACATGGACAAAGTTACACATTTCAGCTGGTAGTATTTATCGGATGATTTTACAAGTTACACATTTCTTTACATGTCACTAAAATTCAACCCATCAGTTTGTCCCAGTTCATTAACTTGTTGTTCTGTTCCTTTCCTTATCTTTGTTTTGGATACTAGCATTCCAGGTACTGGTGTTTGAAGGTACCTTCTAGGTTTGTACCAGGTTAGAACAATCATATCTTGTCATCTTCCTTTGGGATATTCCAGTACTGGCCATCTTCCTTTGGGATATTCCAGTACTGTGGGAATAACTGTATCTCTTGCTAGGGTAAAATACACACATGTCCTTATCCTGACAACTTTGCTATCTGCTTAAGCCAAAGCTTACTTCAACTAATGCACGATGTTATGGGATATCAGCATAAGTGAATAGGCAGGATTATAGTAAAGATACAGGCCAGTTTAGGCTGTATAACTCCTATAATATTTGTGCTTAATGCTATTTCTGCTTAATGCATAGTAATATATATATATATGGTGTGAATAATATACATATGACTAATATGATATATGTACAGGCTAGCCGGCATATATTGGTCAACATTCCAAAACATTTTATTAAGGCGACCTACCCAACTGCATTTTGTGTTTTTTTGTGACCCACCATAATGTACATGCATTCTCCACCCTGATACCGCAACCCAAATCCTTGCCCAATGCAGAGGGGAGACATTGGGGAGATAGGTAGGGGATGGTGGAGAGTGATCTGCTGCCTATGACCCATTTGGAACCTTCGCATGACCCACTGGTAGGTCGAGAACCACCCTTTGGGAAACACTGTCCTAAGGCAGGGTGTGTGATCCATGTGTTTTAGAATGGAGTCCCAAATCCACCTTCATTTACTAAGCACTATTCCCCAGTTGAATTATTCTTATTCTCTAAAGATATATTTGAGTTTAGAGAAATTATATAATCAATAAGTGTCTTCGCTTTACACATTGTGTACACATTTATACATTCTGAAAAGCATCTAAATGACTTAGGAACATGAGTCCTATAACTTAGGGATGGGATTTTCAAAGGAGACTAACTCTGAGAGTTTTGAAAATCCCAGCCTAGGCTCACAAGCCCTATTCAAAGTCAGTTGTACTTGTGCTACTCATTTACTTACACATGTGTGAACATATCATCATTTGTTTATTGTTGCTTTATACAATGCAGTACAATGTTATTTTCATACAAATCTCATCCTAAAATTATTTGTACAATTAAATAGTTACAAATTTGAAAGAAGTGAGTGCAGGGGAAGAACAAAATTGAGTTAATCTTAGTTGTTTTCTTCTGTAGTTATCATGTATACCATTATCACCAGTGACTTGATTGCATGTTACCAGCAGATTATTCTGCAACCAGACATTAGTAAATTCTTTTACTTAAATTTAAATGTACTTTAAAAACTATATATGAATTTCTTGGCATACCAAATTCGAATTAAAGTATGGATTTCTTCCATTTCAGTGGTGTTGAAATCTTGCATCAGTGAGCTTAAATGCTTTTCAAAATAATGAATCACCAGTATCGTAGGTTATTTTAGTGCATTTGACTTTAAACAAAGCCTTCACAATCTGTTTGGTTTCTGCTTATAAACAAGAGGAGAATATAACTCACTATGATCATTTAAGGATGTGATACAAGTGATTTAAATTTGAGTGCAGAACATGTTCCTTATATAATACCGAATGCACTGTGCTGTTTTTCCTCATGTTTCATACGCAGATCAGAAAGAAAAACTGATTACTCCAGATTTAGTAAATTTCATGCAAGGGAGGTTAAAAGACAACTTTAAGAAGGCTTCATTGTAAAACAGTTATTAAGTATTACATTTTCATGAATTTTGGATAAATATAAGTATCCATTAAATCCTAGGGACTGATAGTACTGAACAAGAAATTACTGTGTTTATCTGGGGGATTTGATTATGCAGATTGCTACATTAATTCTTTGACACTAGAAATTTCGGTGCGTCCATTGCTGGCAGTATATGTCACACGGGGGAAATCTCATTCCTATCTTGAAAAGATTAAGTAACCCAAACACTGACATAAAAGACCAGAGTTTCCAGGAGCCGGAGGTAATTCAGTCTCTGCTCCATCACCTCTTTATGTTGGAGGTGAGTTTGCTTTGAGACTCTCTGGAGACACGCTTTCTTGTTGCTGGAAGTCATGTATATAGTTGGCATTAGATGTAGGCTAAATAAGCAAGTGCCTAGGGCACGTAATTTTTGCTGTTATCTAACCATCCTTCTCCTTGACCCATTGGGACAGATTTGTGGAAGAGATCTCCCCTTTTAGAGATGCCTTCACCTCAATGCCACCGGAAAAGCAGCAACAGCCAAGGCCAGGATCCGTGGCACTAATGGAGCTCCTGACCAGTTGACCCCCACTCCTTTACCTGCGGGAGGGTGGTGGTTGAGGGGAAATAATGTACCTGCCCCTTTGGGAAGTGTGTAGAAAGAAAGATCAGGAGCTCAGTTTTAGCTAGCCATGTTACATATAAACTGTCAGTGAGCCACACACCAGGAAGGAATGTTAGGCAGGCTTGGATGAAAAGGAGCAATCAAGGAGGACAAGGCCAGTGCAGAGAAACTAAATGAGGTGAGAGGCAGATATGTGAGTGTTTGGTATAAAGATGGTAGCTGAAGACACGTGAATGTATGAGATAGAGTGCAGAGGGTGAAGACCAAGAAGGAAGCCCATGCCTGCTGAATTGCCCAAGATGACACAGGATATCTGTAATATGGGAACAACATTTTAATTCTTGGTGTTACAGTATTTCTCTCTGCCTCATTATTTGTCTTTCTAAATTAGTATACATTCTGTTTTGAAAGGAAACATTTTATTTCTAAAATTGCCTAAAAATGAACTTTGTTTCTCCATCCTTCAGCTGCTGCTCCCCAACACACACTTGCTTAGTCT